GGGAGGTGCCGCACGAAAGCAAAAGAAAACGCCCTCCGCCAGGACCGGCGGCGCTGATTTACGCTGCCTGAAAATGCAGCCCGCGACAGCCCCGCACACAAAGCCCAACGCACGCGACAGCCAGGGAATCGCGAGCGCGTTGGAGCGGCGGGAGTTTCTGCCGCTGCTGCAGTCGGGTAGCATCAGCCTGGAAGTGCTGCCTCCATAAATCACACTGCAGCTACACATCCAGGTCTTCGTGTTGGGGCTTTTTCAACACAGGGCTACTATAATTGGAATAAGAGTCCTTAAGTGAACGTGATTTAATATCAGAGACGCTGAGCACTTCAGGGCAGAAACCAAATTGATTTTGTTTCTCCTCCTGCTGTAGGCCAAAGCGGATTTTGTTTGCTTTCGCTGTTGCAGCCTGTTTCCATGACGGTGTGTTACACACTTATTAATTTCTTAGCCGAAGCCCTACCATTCAGATTTATGGTGGCTGGTGTTTTATGAACTAACCGCTGCACAGGAATATTTGGTAAATCTACATTCCATAAACATCACCTTGCTTGAAGTCCAGCGTCACCCTCGGCTGGGCTGCGCGCTCAACAATGCGCTCATTTTTAATCAGTCACCTGTTTCTCATTTTAAGTTTATCACACTTGAAAAAATACTATAATTTCTAGCGTTGTAAAGAAACCTACAAACTTTGGTCTCCGAAATTTCATTTCGAAGGCATTAACTCATTTTGAAAGTCCCTTGGCTATTTGAGGTGTAGAGTTTCCATTAGCAGAACAAACTCCGCGGAGCATGGAACCAACGTTCTTATGGAAAACAGCCCCTGCCCCTAATTATTTAGTCTAGCAGGGAATGAAAATAATTAAGTCTCAAAATTCCCTTTAGAGCGGGGAGGGGGGGGAAATATGGTAGGAAAATTAGACTTTTTTTCCGCACAGCTACCGAAGGGGAGCAGGGGCTCGGCGGGCACAGTAATTAGCTGGAAGGTGGGGAGCGAAGGTGCGCCGAAGATTTGTGGCCGCCATACGCGGGCTCGCTCCCGGCGAGCAACTGCCCTCGCTCTCTGCACGGACGGGCGATCGCCTGAGCCAAAAAGCCACCCCAGACTTTTCTTTTCCTCCCAACTGTTACTGCTCAGGCTCAAATTAAAGACTTTAGTTTACAACCAAAATACAATTATAACAAAAAGGCAAATCCTGACTGCAAGTGGCTGGCAACGCTGAGGCTCCCCGCATTCAGCGCTCAGTTAAATATTGTTAAGGGGTCTCCTTCCAAAGAAGAGCGAGCCTGTAGGTTTAGTTCTAATTGCCTCTGTCCTCCTCTTAAATTCATGTTGAAGGACCCAGAGCAATCACCCAGTTTCTGGCATTTTCCCTATCAGATCCCCCCAACGCCAATCTATTTGGGATGAAGCTATTTGGGTTGAAATGCAACAAGGGAGCGTTCAAAATCAAGCAAAGAAACGGTGGTTTTGAAATTCAAAGGAAAACACCAAGCAGGCGAGCCGTTTTGAGCTGAACTAAGGCTGGATCCAGCGTAGCTGACCGGGTTGCTGTAAACAGGCCAGCCACAAATGCCAGAAGTATAAATTCAGCAGAACTGTAATCAGGCATAAAAGCTAAAAATCACCAATCGCTTCAGTTCCCTTACACAGGCAAAGTGCTAATAGTGAACAAACAAAAACCAAAAAAACGTGCACAGCCGCAGGCACTGTGAGTGACCTGACACTTTGGTGTAGGATCCGGATTGGGACCCTGCTATCCCCGAGCCGGCAGGGATCGAGCCCCTTACTCCACGCAGCCCTCAACTGTACACCGGCACCAAAATACAGATCGTGCCAATATCCAAGATGTTTGCATTTGGCTGGCTAAAACCAGAAATGTGACCAAGAAAGCATGATCCAGAGTTAAACTGTGGGTCTGGATTTTTGTTTGGGCCACAGTGAGTATTTTGATTTTGCATCACCTAAAAATACATGAGGCCCACGAAAAGCTTTTAAAACAAAACTAATGCCAGAGTGAAGGCAGCTGACACACAAAACCAGCACTGGATCCCGATCTTTTCCTACTATAAACTAGCTGCCAAAGAGTGAAAACAGAGTCTATGCTTGGTTAAACCAGAGTAACACATGAATCAAGACGCCGGCCAACAAGATATATAGCTCTGTGTATCCAACACACACCATCGAGCGGCTGTATAACTGCTTGTTGGACCTGCTTATACCCCTCTAGGCTATGCATCCGTTAGCTGACAAATTCTAACAAAACAAGAAAGATGCTACTTTTGATAAAGATCTGCTTTCATCCTTGCTATAAATTCTTGAACATTTAATTTTCTCATCTGCTACAGAATACAATAACTAACTGTTCATCACCTGGCACAACGTAGTGTTATCCCAGCCACATCCCACATCATTACTTTCACTCTTAAATGAATTCCTGTATTCAATAACCTGATTTTTTTAAACACTGCTCATCCCAGAAAGTTCATCTATGGTCACGCCTCCAAAGGCAAGATGCGATATGCGTTTTCTTGATTTTTAATTTGGTACAATGTCTTGGTTTTAGTTTAAATCTTGGTGAATAGCAGGAATAATGTTTATGGCACTGGGGGACAGCAGGGTAATAAACAGCTCTGGGATTATCAAACGCTTCTGTCAGTCCGTGAACAGCACGAGCCGTTTATTGCCAACAGGCACCAGACGGCAAAGACTTTTGGTTGCTCTCAACAGGGGACACCTAATTCAATCCGGTGACCTGGTGTCTAAAGGTTCCAGGTTCTGTTAAACATCTCTAGGGTCGGCCAACTCTCAGAACTGACTTTATTTATGTTTTTTTTTTTTAAAGAAGCAATGCAAGAAAAACGCCCCACAATGAACACCGCTCCATGAATTCACAGCACAGAACCTTGGGGATAGAAGCAAAGTTTGATGAGACCGAGGACAGTAAATCTACTCAATATGGAGCCAACATAACATGGGTTCTCTGGTACCTGCTATTTCAGTTCACCCTTGCAGATCACACGCTACCGCGAGCTCTCTGCATCAGCCACCCACAGCCCCGCAGCGCCCACCCGATCCCACCATCGCTGCCCGTGCACACCCTGGCCTCAGTCCCCATTGAAACGGAGGTGGCAGGGAGCCATCTGCAGGCCCTGCTCCCCGTCATGGCCCCGAACCCTAGTTTGGCCGATAAATGCACATCCAACCAACCAAAGATCCATAAAACAAAAAAAGGTACAAAAAGCTCCATAAAAAAACAAAGGTACTTGATCTCCGTCAAAGAGGATGATCTATCTTGCATGATACTCCACTTTCCTTTTAATATCGCCGATCAAGGCTGGCTGATGAGACGGCATCAACGCCTTGTCCCTGGTATGTTAAGCTAATGCAAGCAGAGCTAATCAGAGCTGAAAACCCCTCTGTAAACATTACTGAAGCCGTATCCTTCAGTGGTGAGGGGCATTCTGGTATATCCCAGCACGCTTTTTGTACGAATAATTAATAGAGGTTCCCTGAGAACCCTCTTGGATTCGAGCCAAGGTGTAATTATTTTGGTGTAACAGATCTACGGCTTGTGTAACCGAACAAACTGCGACATTCCCCAGTAATGCAACCTGAACGCCAAAACTCTAATTTACGGGCGCTCCGCTGCGTTTGCGAGGCTCGGGGCTACGGGCAGTCTCCCCGCTCCGCACGCTGCAAGGGCCTCGTGCTACAGAGCGCCCCGACGCTCTGCTCGGCGCTGAACAATGGCAAAGTGAGTCCTGGAAAGAGAACACACACAAACCCCAAATACCTGTTTTTATAGCAGTCTTTGCCCCTGTGCTTGTAAGGAATATGTTGCCATCAGCCTGTATCAGCACTCTGCCAGGTGCCCAGTAAGCAAGTAGTTTGGTAAAGAAAATCTGCGTTTGTCTGCTGTACATAAAGACTTTAGCATCTAAGCTCATAAAACAGCTACGCGCTATCAGAAGAAATCTGAGAATTCTGGATGCGTGGACAACTCCAGAAACCTGGTTTTTAGAAATATTCAAGCATGATGGTGGGAAACTCGCTTTAGCAGCTATATTCCAAGCTGCGTTTCTGTTCTGGTTTTTTGCAAAATATATACAGATATACATACATACATACATATCTCTACATAAACTATCATGGGTTGAAGGGGCATATCTAAAATGAAGTGCTTTGGTAAAAGGTGGAAGTTCTTAAAGTCTTAGAAACACAACGAGTCTCTTCGCAGAAGATTCGGGGGATATACTGCATTAAAGCTGAAAAACTGCAGCTCTGTTTCTAAGGGAAGTTCATTTCACAGGGTACTGTGAACCTTAATCCTTGTTTGCAATGCATCTTGAGAGCCTCAAATGGAAAATATTAGCAAGAGCATAATATTACTTGAGTTGATCCAAAAATTCCCTTAAAATGTTTTTTCAGCTAAAAATAACTTTGTCAACAAAACAGACACTTTTGTGAAAAATTTCCTTTTGTAGAAAGCCTTTGGGTTTTCATCTGTACTTTTCACTTGCTGATATTTGCTTTGTCTTTTCATTGAAAACTCAAATAATTCCAAGACAAGTATCAACAAAAACAATTATTTTTGCAGGACTGCTTTGTCTTTGAAATATCTCTATAGCCCGGTAGAAAAGTATTTTTGATCTGATCTTGCAAAGTGATCATGGCAAAAAATCTAAAGCTGACAGGCAGGAAACCACATCTGCAGTCGAGATTTCTGTCCAAGAGAAGCAACGCGGAGCCCTTTACAGACGTGCCTGGGAACGATCTCAACCAAAGGGTCCTTATGTCTGCGCACCACGAAGAAATTAAGGTGCTGAGAACACCAGGTCTTCATGGCGTCCTTACGTTAAAACTGCCCTATTTAAAGACCACCTGTGTATCATCAGATACACTCAGGGAACAGAAAACCCGCTTGTATGTCCAAGACAGAAATGACCACGCTGAACACAGAGCCGGGTGCTTCCAGCTCTTGACTGAAGTGCGAGCTTACCGCGGGGGCGCTCTGCCTGCAAAGGGGTTCGTTTCCATCAGGGACAGTGCCGCCTCCTCCTGGGCCAGCAGCTTTCCAGCCAGGTGGATTATCCATTCATTCTGCTCATAGGTCTTGGGGAAGGAATAAGAAATAAAAAAGAAACGTTAGACACTGCTGGACTTACCACATATTGTTATCAGCATTAAAGAATTTTGCATGCTCTCTGCTGGTTGCCGGGGAGGGATTGCAGCAGATTCAGTTAGCAAATGATGAATTTCCTGCTGTTGCCGGGAACAGATCCTGTGGGATCCAACACCTTGAGGCTCACACTGAGACCCTCCGGCGTCTGCAGGGAGCAGATCTGCCTGGAGAGGCAAAGTGGGAGTCTGAGCGGAAGCAGGGAGCCCTTCATCTGGAAACCACTCCTCAGGGTACGGACGCAACCGAGAGCGGGCAAGACCCAATCGCTTAATGAGTTGTCGTTTGTTAGCTGTGACAGCTACGTGCTCTCTTAGCCTGCCCTGACTGCAAGGTGACACACACCATCTCGAGCAGCTCCTCGCAGTGGAGGGCTGAGCGTGCACCCAGGCAGCTGCCCCAGTGCATGGACACTCAGGACCTGTCGTGTTCGGTGATGTCCACACACCTGTGTGACACACACAAACCGGCAGGGCTACAAACACCCCGCACGGCTTTCAATTGCAGAGACATGTTAGCTCCCCTCTCTTCTTCCATCTCCCATTTGGTGGTTTCACATTTGTGGGTCTCCTATGTGAAATATATTGGGAGGGCACAGACACGTGCCTGGTGCGGCTCTAGTGTCCACCGAAACTGAGATTGCATGGAGCGACCGCTGAGCTGCAGCGTGCCTCGAGGAGCACAGCATGTCCAGATGGACCAGTGAGATGGGAACATTCTGCTGGGAATACACCCAAGCGCGTCTTTGCTGGGGCCCGGGGCCACCCCACCACCCCACGGTCCTCCTAACGCTCAGCAGCGACTGCCTCTCCTCTACCTCAAATCACAAATCTCTTTTTGACTTTACATATTTAATATAGCTGGAGATGTTCTTGCTAATTCTGCACCCCAAACACTTGATTTTAAACATTTCTTTTAGTAGCAAAATTCTACAGAGGAACAATAACTGCACACTTTAAAATGAGAGTCCACCCAGCATTTTAAAATACGTTGCTGTCCCTTGCGTTACTGGAGAGAAAACAGAAGTATGGGACTTCTCAGCATGGGACTTCTCTATTTCTCAATTCCTGTCTTTGCATCCCCTTTATCTCCTTTAATCTAATGTGCCTTCTTTACATCCAGTGTCCATAGTACACCCCTTAATTAAGCCGCCGCTGAAATTGAATCAACCAATTCCAGGAGGCTGCAACCCCTCCGAGCTGCAGCTGCAGCACGTGACTCTTACTTCCCTTCTCCCAGGAAGGAGCGCATCTTGCACCCTTCGAAGGGGTTCTTGGTGAGCCTCTGGAAAAAGCACTTCCCCTTCTGGTGATTTTCTATGCCTTACACTTCCATAAAGCCTTTTTTCCCCATTTTTTAATGTGTACCTAAGTGGATTTTTTAATGCAAGCAGTAGGGGACACTGTGGGAAAGCTAAACGCAGCAGCTGTACCTGCAAGACTGTGACTAATGCAGAACATCGATGCAAAGTTACTCTGCAAATCTTTTACAATGGTAAAGTTTGTTATTTCCGTTGCTACGGGAAACAGAGGAGCGAAATGAGATGGAAAACACCAAACACTGATGGAAAGGCCCTTCAAGAGGCAGCACTCCTTCGCAGGTTTTCTGATCTGTGCTCATCACAATTTAGAGGAAAACCACAGTTATTTAAGCTAACAAGCTTTTTCAGGAAGGCTCCTCTCCCCACCCGCCTGCTTCCACCTTGACTCACCGAGCTGTTCGTTGATCTGTTGTCCAGGCTGCCCTGCCACCGCTGATGGTACCTGCTGGGAGCCAAGCCCTCAAACCCACTGTCCGGCATGCGGCGGGCTTCCCACCAGCCAGGCACAAACTGCAACGCGTCCCCGCTCGCCTTTCCACCCACAACCCACATGAATCCTCCGCCGGCCCCAGGCTGTCTCCTCAGCAATCATGGATGAGCAAATACCGTGAGTCAGGTTCCCGCGTCTCCTCAGAGTTCACTTCTGCATGATTTTAAGCACTATTTCTTAGAGGGCTTAGGACACGTGGAGGTTTCCTTTTGGAGGGAAGTAGGGGAGAAGCTGGAAATTCTATGTAATCACCAGACTCCAGGAGCTAAAGCTTTATGAAGGACACCAAATCTTGAAAGCCTGATTTCATAACATGAGACTCTGTAATGGTGGAAAAGGTTCCCTGGCTCACATGGTCTCCAAATTGTTCATTAGCAGCTCCATGCTCACAAGAGTTGGACTTCTGGTTTGTAAAGAGTGTTTTTCTTGTAAAATTTACAACATGTCTGGCCCCAGCAAAGTCTGCGGTGAGAAATTTCCATCAAATGCAGTTCCCCACACTGCCCCCAACACAAAGGCTTAGATATCATGCACTGCTGATGCTTGGAGCATGCAGGAGCAGAGCAGCACTAACAACTGTACTGTTTAACTCATTACTCTGTAAAGTGATACGGTGGCAAAGGGAGAAAAAATAGTCAAGGTGATTTGGGTCCTGTCCAGGGAAGCATCACACCACAAGGCTGGAAGGTGACAGTTCCTCTGTCAGGGGATCTGGTGAGACCCAGACCCCAATACAGTTTGCAGAGCTGTGACATTTAGGCAGGAGAGATTCATGTGGAGTGAGTTCCACTTCTGAGAGTGCAAAACGGAAGAGTGAGACCTTGAATCATGCCATGGGTTAACAAAAAAAAAGCCAGGACCAGTGCACACATTGCTGCAAGGTATGCATGCTTTCATGTGGGGGGTTGTTCATCTTCAGATGTTGGACCTTCGCCTTTGGACCAGGAGGCTGGGGCTGACTCTCCGCTGGTCTTGCTGGATCTCTGGCAGGAGCCAGGCACAGACTGAGGCTCCTGCATCGGGCTCCCAGCTCCCCTTCTGGGAGCAGGAGCTATGGCTCGCGTTCCTGCTGGACCTGCACTGGGGCCATCAGCACCACTTGGGCACCCACTCCTACTGAACAGTGAGTGAATTGCAAAGTCAATGCTAACACTTGCAGGCTCTGACTGTGCTGACACGTCTGCTGTGCTGGCCAGACTCAGCATCCAACCCTGAGCGGAGAAGAGCTGGGGGAGGGACATGCCAACACATGTGTGGGCATGATTCCCTCCTTTGTTTCAAGGGTTTTCTTTTTCTTTTAAAATAAAAAAAAGTAACCAATGAACCTAAACAAAAAATCCACCACCAACCCGACTAAAACACGTCCGAGAGAGTCAGTTCAGCCCAAAGTTGAGGTTCCCAAAGCAACGCTACTGCAGCCACAAAGCAGAAGCCTTTTTGTGTTCACAGACCATCCACGTAGACACGTGGATATACAACACATGCACTTTTCAGATGGTACCAGCACTCAAGACCTCTCTAAATTAGGCTTTAGGTGTAACATGGTGCACTGACAAAAAGGCCCTGGGGCCAAATGTTATGACACCGAGAGCTTTTATTTCCTAACTGGCTTCAGCCTTGTGCAGAGCTCAGGGTCCTCGCTGTGTCTGGACTCCCTGGGCTCTCCTTGCAGTGATCTCCAGGTGAGCTGCATTGGGATGGGGCTTGCTCCTTCCCTCCGCCTCCGCGTAGACTAGCATCAGGAGCTGAGGATCACTGCAGGCCACAGGGTTAACAACAGCACTGCCAAGTGATGCTGCTGCCAGACTTTTTAACTATTTATTCTCTCCGACCTTTCTGTTTTTAACTGTCTAACCTTAATCAGTGTATAAATATGGCATTCACACCTTGAATACATTAACTTGTATTCAGAAGTATTTAAAAGCTTTACAGAATTAAAAAGCTACTCATCGTTGAAGCTAGGCAACAGCAAGAAGCTGGGGGCAGAACAGATGCAGTAGCAATGAAACTGCAGAGATAACAAAGTAGAAGAGACTATAATACACATAAAACCACGCCACACTACAGGGAACATGTTTCCAACTGAAATAATAATAATAAGAACCCTTTTCCTCCAGCTTTAATTGGTCATTTAATGAAAAAGGACTGTGGATTAGTGTGGCATTTTATTGAATCTCAGTCCTGGCACAGGCGCACGGGAGGAGGTAAGTATGAGATACACATGTGGAAACAGCTGGAAACTTGGCCCGGGAGCCTAGCATTATTATTTCGCATGGTTGGGAGCCCTGCACGTTTTCACCTCAGGTTCTGTGTGTGCCTCAGGACAACAGAGGGGCAGGGGAGGTTCACATTGCCTGCGTAATGCTTGAAGGGGCATTTTTTCCATCACAGCCTACCCACTTTGGGGACGTAAGCGGGAACTCCACCATCCTGGGTGGTTTTCATCCGTGTATTCACATTTCTGATGCGTGCACTTCTGAAGCTGGGTGCCATCAACTGTCACTGTGCAAGGAACTTGAGAAACCAGCTGGAAAATTAAAAGGGCACAGCTAAAGAAACGCTTTGCTTTTCTCTGTATTCCATCTCAGAGACATTTGCTACCATCCTGCTACCCAACTGACTTAACCATGGAAGGTCAAAGGCTATGTCAGGTTGACTCACTTCTAATTATCCCCAATAACCACATCCCCTTCTTTCTATTAAGTATCCCAAAGAAGCAAACCATTTCTCAGCAGGTCTGAATCAACGTATAGTGTTTCAATGGGGGACGGTTGCTCAAGCCTCACTAAAAGCCATCCATTAGCCTCCCTTATTATAAGGCGCTTGGGAAAGTAGCAAGTCCCAGGAGAAAATGTATGCTGTTCAGAGTGCAGCAGGTCCAGGTAGAGGAAGAAAAGGCTGTGAGAGAGTGTAGCATGACTTTGGGAACCGTCTCTGTTAGATCTCGCCTATACAGGGAGATCGTGCACCTGGCATAGCTCCCGTATCACCTCTGTATTCGGAAATAAAAGTCACTTTGTTCCAGAATAGAGTCTAGACGAGGGACATACAATAACCACTGCAGACAATGACCATTCCCTGCATAGACAAGGTCTTACTATGCATTTCTTCAGTACGGAGCA